ATGTTCACTTTGATCTCTCTCTTTCTTTTTATATTTTCAAAGATTCCCTTATTGTCAGTTATTACATTACTCAATAATTTGCCCTCATAGTGCATTTTCTCTGTTTTTATTATCTTTCTAGTTCTTCTTTGCTGGATTCTGAATTTAACCCAGTCCTAAGAGGCAATCACTGATTATCTCTGATTACCTCATTATCTCTGTTTTCTTTCAATTTAATACTCTGCTTAACTTCCTTGGTCTGCCATGGATAATTTATCCTTCTCTTAGAATCTTTCCTCCTTACTGGGTTATATTTTTGCTGAGGGTCATGAATTACCTCCTTAAATGTCTGCCACTGCTTGCTTACTGTCTTCCTGCTAATCTATCCACCCATCACACTTTAGCTAATTCTATCCTCATTTTATTGTAAGTCCCTTTATTTGAGGTAAACACAGTTGTTTCCAACCCAAGATTCTCACTCTCAAACAGAATATTAAATTCTATCATGTTATGATCACCACATTCTAAGGAATCTTTTACTCTGACATAATTTATTAAACCTGCCTCATTAGCCAGCACTAGATCCAACATAGCCTGTTCACTGGTTGGTTCCATGGCATATTGCTCAAGGAAACTATCTCTAATGCTTTCTATGACTTTGTTGTCATAGCTATCCTTTCCAACATGATTAACCCAGTCAACATGAAGATTAATGTCACACATATTCTTTTTGCATGATCTTAACTTTTGTCGATTTATAGCCTTTACATAGAATGGCATACAGAAAAGATACACAGAGATCAAAATGATACATACGAGTGCTTGCTCATGAGTAAGTCTTCTTTGAGCCATTCTCCCACATGAGAGTCCCCTCAACTTATGTCATTTGTTTTATTCATTCACAGGATGTGGGCATCACTGGCTAGACCAGCATTTTATTGTCCATTTTTAATTGCCCAGAGGACAGTTAAGAGTCAACTGCATTGCAGTGGGTCTGAAGTCACCTGTAGGTCAGACCAGGTAAGGACAGTAGTTTCCTTCCCTAAAGTACATTAGTGAACCAGATAGGTTTTTCTGACAAAGTTTCATGGTCATCATCAGACTGTTTGGGTGACATGGTGGCTCAGTGGTTAGCATTGCTGCTTTACAGTACCAGGGACCCATGTTCAATTTCATCCTCAGGTGTTTGAGGTGTTTGCACATTCTCCCTGTGTCTGCATGGCTTTCCTCCCGCAGTCCAAAGGAGTGCTAGTTAGGTGGCTTGGCCATGCTAAATTGTCTGTAGTGTCCAGGGATGTATAGGCTCGGTGATTAGCCATGGGAAATGCAGGCTCACAGGGATGGAGTTGATTGTTCTATTTCATTCAATGAAGGTTAATGGTTAAAAAAAAATACAGTCAGTAGTGGCTAGTATACTTTCTAAAAATTGGTCGTGTTTGCTATTTTGTCTGGAAACTTTTCTCCATAGCAACAACAGCCCTGGCTACTGATGGGTTTAATGACTGGAGAAGGAATGAAGAAAGAGGATGGCACTGTGGTTAGCACTACTGTCTCAAAGTACCAGGGACCTGGATTCAATGTCTGTGTGGAGTTTGCATGTTCTCTCTGTGTCTGTGCAAGTTTCCCTTTGGCTGCTCTGGTTTTCTTCCACAATTCAAAGATATGCAGGTTAGGTGCTTTGGCCATGCTAAATTGCTAGGAATAAGCAGGCAGGGTGGGTTTGCTATGGTAAATATGAGCTTACAGGGATAGGGTGGGGATGCTTTTCAGAGGGTCAGTGCAGACACAACGGACTGAATGGCCTCTTTCTGCAGTGTAGAGATTCTATGAATTCAAAATCATGAACTCTGAAGATCATTGAAAATCTCTGCTTATGTATTTGATGAGGCAACATGGGTTAATCTTGGATTCACACTTGGAGGAACGGATGTAAAAGGAGCAAGAGGACTGGAGTACTTGAACATTTTATTGCAGTTGTGTGCATATTAGCAGATCACATTGTGAGAAGAAATGAAAGCTTTGGCTCGTCACAAAATGGTAAGTTTCTGGGCTTGGTAGAACTCTTTGGTAAGTTTGATCTATTCCTCACAACCATTTGAAAATACTCCATACAACCAGATGAAACCACACTGAAAGCAGTGGATTAGGAAACATTCATATTTCTCTGAAGCAATATACAATGACTCATTCAGCTTATGCGTGAAAAAGTAAGAGGATGTATTTTGGATGATCTGAGAAAAGCAGGATACTTCAGCTTCTCCATTGACTCTATACTAGATCTTTTACACGTTGACCAACAAACTGTTACTGCAAGATACCATGGCACCCAATAATGGTTTCTCCATTGAACTCTTACTAACTTTCCTTGAATTAAGAAAGTATAGTAGTGAAAGGAGGGCCAACATGGTGCTGGTTTAGCTGAGCAATGACTGTAAAGTTGACTTCAGAAGATGAGAGTCAGCTAACACGGCGAGAAACTACAATGGCAAAAATAAGTATGGAATATATACTTTATCACTGGCACTCACTGAATCTTGCTGGCTGTGCTGCAGTTGATTGTTGCCAAGATGCAGTAGTTTCCCTTATTGGTGTGCAACAAATATACACACTCTTCTCTGCCACTAAAGCAATGGACATCATCTGAATCATTTTGGATCCTGATTCCACAATACCAAAACATCTCTTTGACACCAACAGCACATGCAAAGGCGACTTCAGACATAGCTGAGAGTTATAGTTATTGAGAGTTATTGATGTTTTTATTTATCTTTCTACTGATGGTAGCAAAAAAGATGATCCAAGGAGGGGAGTTGGGATTCCGCAGGAGATAATGCAGGAATTTGGAGTTTGTGTTCACACCAGAGCTCTGGAATTGCTTGATAGATCTGTTCCACAATTCCAGCAAGATCGTACAGGATTTACAGGCAGCACTGAGAACGCATGCTAAGCTTCACCTGACCCACTTCTACTACTTGATAAGAAACCCAAGAACATTTTGATATAGAGATAACAAGGTGTAGAGCTGGATGAACACAGCAGGCCAAGAAGCATCAGAGGAGCAGAAAGGCTGACGTTTTGGGCCTAGACCCAATTGAACTCAATGCAACAGTAAATCTGCCCAATTTAGACTACACGTATGTGAATGAAAGGAAAAGAATGAGAAAGAAAGAAGCAATTGAGGGTGATGCTCCTCCTAATGATGATAAAATGCTTTCTCCAGGAGGTACATTCCAAGTGAAACATTTCATTCAAAAAATGGATGCACTTGAAACCAACTTGAAAGAAAGAGCAACCTTATATGAAAATGTTACAATTTTTTTGTGATGCTTTAAATACCTCAGCTATTAAAATGAGGAGGCAAAAGTGATATTGTTGCTGTAATCTAGAGACTCAGCTAATGTTCTGAGGGCCTGGGTTCATAATCCCTCCATGGCAGATGGTAGAAGTTGAACTCAACAAAGATTTGGGACTCCAATTATGACCATGAAACCATTATCAATTGTCAGGAAAACCCATCTGGTTCACTAATGTCCTTGAGGAAATAAAACTGTCATCCTTAGCTGGCCTGGCCTACCTTTGACTCCAGACCCAAAGCAATGTGGTTGACTCCTAACTGCACTCTAGGCAATTAGGCATGGGCAATAAATGCTGTCCTAGCCAATGACACACACATCCTGTGAATGAAGAAAAGAAAAATATTAAAAGAGTACAGTTAGGAGTCAAACATGAGCCATTCAGCCCATCAAGCCGACGCCACTATTCAACAAGAAATTCCTGTTTCTTTCATGTAAAAGAAACCTTGTAATTGGCTCCTTAATTTTGAACTAATGGACAACATTTTAATTAGAGTGTGATATAGCTGCATGCTAAAAATAATTAAATTCTTTGTTCCAGCCAACTGAATGGGTTAAAAAGAGGGGAGTCAATTCACCCTTCCTCTCCCAGTCATAAATTAACCATCAGGCAGTCTGCTTATGAGTCGGTCTTCTGTTCTAACATAAAGGAACTATATCTTGAGTACTTTAAAGATACTTTTTATTGTCATTCTGGACTAGTCCCATGCTAGTCATTTTTTTGCACTATTTCAATTCTGTGACAACACTTAAAGATTCTGCACCTAGGTACCCTGTACCTATGATGGCACCGGTTTGGACTGGGTTGGGCAAGGTCAAAATTCACACATCACCAGGTTATAGTCCAACAAGTTTATTTGAAAACACAAACTTTCAGAGTGTTGCTCTTTCCTCAGGTGTAGTGCCAACAGGTGACATTACAAACTTTTAGCTGCATTCACTCAAATGCACCTCACAATACGGGGCTATTCTATTCTATTGTAAAGGGGCAGAAATGAAGGTACTCTTGGAGATGTAAGGATCAAGGAGTTGCTGAGATGGGTTTTGCTAGAGTAAGTTGGACTTTGAAAACTGAGCTTAATGGAATAATTCCTAAAGGATCCTGGAAAGTTTTGATATGATGTGATTGGGGTTAGAGCGCATCTGGAGCACTGGAAGTAACTTCGGACCTGTTCTTGTGGGGCACAGTAAAGGATATTGTAAGATGTATTTTGATTGCATTCGGTAGTTAAGATGATAGTACCTCTTTAGTTATTTGCCTGCTGCCTGTTGTGCTGATTTTAATTTGCATAAGACAGCAAAAATCTTAAAATTTGAATATCGCCCACCCACTGGTTTATTTCCGTTGGTCGTTCGGGAAATTCATTCCTCTTAAAGATAACTAATCGAAATAAAAATATTTGCCGACTTGCTTTAGTTGGTTCTTCAGAACACACCTGAAGGGATTTGTCCAAAATTCTCACGGTGAGCCAGTAATTTGAGGCGGTGCCGGCAGGAGGCGGTACTGGAGAAGGAGTAGTCGGTGGGTCAGCAGGCGGGGGAGTAGCGAACTGTGCCGGTAGGAGGCGGTGCTGTTGGAGGACCAGTCAGTCGGTGGGACAGCAGGCGGGGGAATGGTGAGTTGGTCCCGGCAGGTGGCGGTGTTGGTGGAGCACCATTCGGTGAGACTGCAGGCGGGGGAATAGCGAGCTGGTCCCGGCAGGTGGCGGTGTTGGTGTAGGACTGGCCTTACGGGATCGGCGGGATGAAGGCACCTGGCGATGATGGCCGTCAGAGGCCGGCGCTATGAGGTTTCAGTGGAAGCGGGTGGTGCGCTCGCTGCTGTTTATTTATTGTCTTTTTTCTATTTACGCAGCTTATATCGTCTTTTTTCAAGGGCGGCGGGGATCCGGGGACCTCCGGGTGACCGCCCCCAGAGAGCGGAGTAAAGGTAGGCGCAGCCCTCGCCCCCAACGTACACCCTCCTCCCCCTAGGGATCCGCAACACCCAATCCCCACATACACACACATATCCCCCAACCTCTCCCCATACCAGATCCCCAACACCCCCTCGATCGCCCAAAGCCAACACACCGGATCCCCAACACCCCCCCCCCCCCCCCCACCAGATCCCCAACACCCCCTAGATCACCCAAAGCCAACACACCG